CCCCCCCAACCCCCTTCCTGCAATTATTTTCGACAGGGGAAGAAGTAGGTAGCATTTTTCTCATAAGCTTCCAATCATATAAGACAAGTTTTAAGATTGAAGTCTATACACACCTCCCAAATTCTTGCTAGAGTCAGGTTGATAAAGGAAGGCAGTCCTGGTGGACCTCCCTGTAGTTCTGTCAGCATTGATAGCAGCTTGAAAAACGCCTGGGATTGCTAGAAGGAGAAGAAGAGAAAGATAAACTACATCAAGATAGATCTTTATAGGGTTCCTCAAGGTTTTTAGAAGACTGACCTCTGATGGCAGCTTCTGTACAGAGGATATTAACATCGACACCACCTGAAAATAACAAGCAAATTAATGATTTGTATATTATGCTGCAACAAGATTTTAAATTGCGTAGACAACGCGACAAATTATTCTCTCGTATATGGGGAAGCTTTACTTGCTAGATACAAAATAGGTGAAGGTTAGGAAACGATTTGCGCATGCTTGAACAAGTGGTGGGAAAATGGCAGAACAGTTAATACATTAAAAAATCGTGGTAATGCTTAGGAAAGGTATAGATTTAACTTACGTTTTCTGCAAGCTTAGTGTTATATCGACACAGACTCAGGACCAAGTTGGCTGTGTGTCGTAGATTAACGTTGTCCTTGATAACTTGAAATAGAAATGTCAGTCCCTAGAGAATGAAAGAATTAAAACATTAAACTAACATTGAATATTATTGGATCTGAACTTAACCAATGAAAAATCTCGGTAAAAAAACCCATCAATCTAACGTCAAATATAACTGGATCTGAACTTAACCAATGAAAAATCTCGGTAAAAAAACATCAATCTAACGTCAAATGTTATTGGTTTTGAACCTAACCAATCAAATACTGCATAAAAAACATCAAATTAGCGTTAAATTTCATTGGTTCAAAAATTAACCAATCAAATCGTTATAAATAGTAGAAACATACCTTGACTTCCTTTCCTCCAACCAGCGAATCGATGTCATTCTTGGAGAGATTTAATTGTCTAAAATAATAAGTCACAGTCAATCGTCTCTCTTTTTATGACTATTTACATCAGGCCAGTCCCAGTAAAGAATCAACTTCAGAGAAATTGAAATCTATTCCATAGGTAATATCCAGGCGAACATAAAACAAACAAACAGATTTCATATGACTGTGAAAAATTACGGCACATGACACAATCACGTTGTGGAATAGATAATATCCATACAACGAATCATGCGCACAGGGTATTTTTCAATCCAATGACAAAGAATGCTTGGATCACAGTACAGCACGGTATGGTAAATCTGTACTGTGAGTTTTCCATAGTCATACGAAATCTGCTGTAAACTGAAAAGCGTAACACAACACTAAGCAAGTAATGAGTTAGGTGTACCCTGTTTTGGAAAGATGCAAGCACACTAACCTCTCACTCCAAGATGCTTCTACCAGAACAGCTATTAAAGAAACCATCTTCTCCAAGGAGCTGCCGCGGTACTTGTCTTCAGGCAGGAGGGCCACAACCTCATCATCGTCATCATCCATGTCATCATCATCATCTGCACTGGATTCAGTTGGCTGATACAGACACAGAAAATTGTTAAGATCCAAATGCAACTATGTTAACACAAAGCAGACTCAGTTATGTTTGGGCTACTTATCAAGGTAAGACAAACATGTCCCACATGGGTTGCTACAAGACACATATACTTACAGCTTCTGGGGTCTTGGTCTTGAGGTAGAAGTGTATCATAGTCGATATTGCCTCTATACCTATTAAGAACTCTCGCTGCAACCAATCAAAAGTCACCGGTAAGACAATGACATACTAACAGTAGTCTTGAATACTAAAAACGTTTTGTATACTTTGCTACATTCTCATGTAAAAACTGTGCAGACTAAGATAAAACATTGTACATATCTGGGCCTGGATGTATGAAGGGTGGATAGCACTGGCAGACAAATCTTATCCACTTGATACATTTATTGTATAACAGCATTGACTTATCCACCGAATAAGGATTTATCCGTTGGATAGTGCTATTCACCCTTCATGCAACCGGGCCCTGAGGCGTTCACTTTTGTTTCCATAAGCACATGTTTTGTTTAGTAATCAAGACTTATTTACCAAGTCTCTTGTTTTAATATTTGTAATGGAAACCTCTCGTAAGCGACCACCTGTCATATCCAAACAATGGTCGTGTTTGAGAGGTTTGGTTACATTTGGGAATTTATTTTTTTCATACCTCTTCTTGTCCAACCAAAGCAAACTGATGAAGAAACCAGAAGAGCTCAGACAGGTTCTTGATGTAGAGACGAATGTGATTCAAATCAAGCTGAAACATTTTTTAAAAGTAAATCTTTTTTTTTTTTTGATACGTCATATCTAGCTGTTAAAGTGTGGTGTATGGTGCTCTAGCTTGGGTACAATACCATATAAAGCATAATAAATGAAAGATGATTGTGCCCATGATAGACCAGAATAATACAAGTTCTCTATTCCAGGAAGAACCTAGAAAGGTACTCTGTCATCTATAAGCGTTCTTAAGGCCGGTTTAGATGACACGATTTTCGCCTATAACTATCGTATTGAACACGCTCGCACCATCCTACAACTCGAGTAGTAACGTGTAAATCAAGCCTACAACTCGCTTACTAGTTGTAGGCAAAAATCGTACCCTCTAAACCGGCCTTTACTGGACGAAAAAACCAACGTTAACAACATTGGCTCTTTGCAAATACTTCTTACCAGTTTAAGAACAGCTTTGATAAAACGCACCACGAAAGAAAAAGGACCTTTGTCAACATCCACTATCTCGGCTTCCCTGAAAACCGATCCATTCAATACACTATTAGCACAAGGTACAGTCTGAGGGAGTAGCTTTAAATGGTGTACTTACTCGTCATCCGATTGGACATATGAAGGGCGCAGAGCTTGAATAGCGTGAACACACAGTCGGGCAAACATCTAGAAAGAGTTCAAATAAACATTGATTATTGATTTAATACTCAAACARAGTGTAGCAACAAAATTGTTCACATTTGTTGAATTTTTGAAGATGATGTCAATGATTATGATGATACAATTGCTGAAAAGATATATAGATGTTAAAGTTGATGCTAATGATGTTGAAGATCATGTCATACCACTAACAAAGATGTCAATGGTGATGCTGATGGCGGTGATGAATTGATACTGGATAATCATGTTGGTGATGACGCGAATGATAGTGATATTATAGGCGGCAGTGGTAGACGATATGGTGATGATAATGATGGTGGTAATGATGATGGTGATGATGATGGTGATGATTATGGTGGTAATGATGGTGGTGATGATGATGATGGTGGTAATGATGATGATGATAGTGATGATGATGGTGATGATGATGATGGTGGTAATGATGGTGGTGATGATGATGATGGTGGTAATGATGATGGTGATGATGGTGATGATGATGATTATGGTGGTAATGATGATGGTGATGATGATGGTGGTGCTGATGATGATTATGGTGGTGGTTATGATGGTGATGATGATGGTGGTGGTTATGATGATGGTGATGATGGTGATGATGATGATGGTGATGATACTGATGACCTTTATAGCACTTACATGTCGTATACTCTGTACAGGACATTTAACAAACATCTGTTGCAGCCACCAGTCATCAACAGATAACGTATTCAAGAACCATTCACAAGCAGCACTGCTGTTCTCAAGATGGGTTATCAACAATTCCGACCAATTCTTCAGCAGCAACTTCTCCTTAGAATGAACCAGTGTTTCCAATAAAAACGACGTACTAAGCTGTATATTCGACAGCACAACATCTTCACTATCCTCAAGAGTAGGGGGTATACTACTGCACAATAACCATAGGAAATTGAAGTACGTGGTATCAAAGATGTGCTTATCGTGTAGGAATTGGATGTTATCTGTCCAGATCCAGTGGGCCAAGTCAGGGCTGAGGTTGATAGGTGGTACTTGTATAGGTGAGGCGTTTGGGGTGTGGCGCTCGTAGAACAACATGTAGGCACTGTGGGTCTTCTCGAAGGAAAGTTCCATGAACTTCTCAGACACCACATCATATGTCTTGGTCTTTAAGATATTAATATATACATATCTTTATCACATACTGATTGGTAAGTGACTCAATACAAGGAAAATTATCAATTCTATAAAACTATATCTTTTTCTCTCAAAACTATGGAGTTTGCCTCATACCGTCATTTCTCCACCAAAGCATTCACTTGCAATCTGCGAAGGATCAAAAGGTTTGACTTCAGCGTCATTGAACAGGAACCACTGGTCTTGCTGTGGATCAGTTCTGTTCCGTATAAAGCTGTAGTAATGTCCACCTTCAGCAGTCCCTGTATGTACCACCACGCCTATCAGGTTGTACCAATAGTTGGGATCCTTTTCTGGGTCTAACAATAGAATTTTAAAAAGTGAGTTTACAATTATGCCAAAATTATTGTTATCACTCAGATGAAGTGAACAAAGAGGTCTTCTTGACTCCTAAAATCTGGCCAAAGCATTTTCAAATAAAAAACTTGACTTTGTCCACATAAACTCCTTTCAAATATCAAAAATGACTCCATAATTTGAGGAGTACAAGTCAAAGTGACTACTCTCTGCATAACAAGGAGCCAAGAAATGCAGAAATGAGAGAGAACTACACTGTCATCTTAGCCAATAAGAAAGCAGCGGCATTTTGAGAACCCAACCTCTATGATATTTTTACAAGTTGAAGAGGAACAACAGAACAGAAATCATTTGGAAGGCAATGGTAGTATTGTAAATTTATATCAATGCATGTTTTTTTTTATGGAATCAAGATATGTCTCTCCATTAAAGAAAGAAATAATACTAAAGGGGAGTCCTAGATACCTTGGTCAGCCTTGTCTCCCATCAAGTATTCTTCTGAGTACGGAGCCATGTTCAGTTGGAGAGGGAAAGAGAAATGTGTGTTGACCTTCTCTTTCATCATTGTTACCATGTTGAATGTGTAGCGCATAGTGTTGAAGCAAAGAATCTTGGGTAACACGGTAAAACATGCTCTGGAAAACACGAGAATCAAATGTTTGTTGTCGTGTATGAATTATTAAAATATAATGCACACTCTAATAGACTGGCTACCATGCTTATATCAGAGGACAGACCCATGCTTGCAAAAAACTCTAAAAAGTCTATGAAAAAGACTAATGTGAACCAATGATTCGGGGGAGGGGGAGGGGGGGGGGGAAACAATACTCACAGAAGGACTGAAGCTAGAGATCGGCTGGGTCCTGCATGCCTACATCAAGTTCTGAGAACCTTACCTTTTTTCAGCCCTGACTTTCTTACAGCACTGTGAACAAGTGTACATGTTGTCTCCATCCAAGGTATCCTTGATGGTAACTTCATCTAGTGATTCCTATTCAACATAAACACCAAGAAATTAACACCTTCACTATGGCCAATCCAGTGGGATGCCCCCCTTCTTGACGCTGTTTATTTTTCTTGAAGTGGAATAGAAAGCAAATTTTAAAGGCCTATTGCCACTTACTGTGATGCACCGCAGTCACAGATGAATTTCGTGGTCCATGAAATTCAAAGATTCATATATTGAATAATAACGTCATATTAAATCCTTTTCCGACATAGCACTAAGGCACAATTATGATTCTTTTACATTCTTTTACGGCTTTAGGGACTATTTAAGAGTTTATTCAAAATGTTAGATTTGTTTTTTCAGTGGTGACACGATTCAAAATGTAAACAAATTGTGATGCATCACGGTAAGTGGCAATGGGTCTTTAAATACTTTTTCCAAGTTCTGTAGTGTCATTCACAAAATTTGCTCAAGCCCCCCCTTCCCCCGCTCTATAATTTTGTCTGGATCTGCCCTAGTATATGATCCTTGACTTGTTCTTACTGGCTAAAGGCAGTCATTTACTTACATATAGGTTCTTCATGTCAGCAACAGTGCATCTCACAGAGTAAAACTCCTCTTTTGTCTTGCTAACATGGGTACAGTCCTTAAACAAAAAAATGTCAAAAATGTCATGCATGGCAATAATATTTGAGAGGTCACTAATTGGTTGTTACAAACTCACCAGTGATACTACGTTGTTTGTGATAACTCCACAGAATAGCTCTCGTACTAGGTCTCTCTACAAAAGTGAAAAGGAATCAATAAATGGGAAAAAGAACAGGTGAAAGGGAAATGAGAGGAAATGATAATAGTATGTTAATAATTATAGTATGGCAAGAAGGAAGGTAGGAGAGCAAGAGTAAAAAGATAATACAGGAACAAATGTGTTATGGGAAAGAAAAAATTGAATAGAAAATGTGCAGGGAAGGAGAAAATGTTGGACGAGTTGAAGAGAGAAAAAGAAGAGAGTAAATACAGAAATAAAAGGTAGGAAAGAAAATTGGGAAAAGAAAAGCAGGGAAAGGGGGAAAGAAAATGGAAGAGAGAAAAGCAAGAAACATAGGAAAGGAAAAAGATATAAGAAGAAAAAACTGGGTAATGAGAGAAGAGGATAGATATACACAACAAAGGTATGGAAATGAAAGAAAGAAGTGGAAAGGAAGGATCATGATACTCACAAGTGATGGTGACATATCTTCTAACTTGCTAATCAAATCAGTAAAGAATTCAGTCATGTCCTTCTGTTCACCAGTGTTTATTAGCTGTTTGTCCATGGTGTAGGTCCGACAGAAAGAACGAGGGTTGTGCGCCTTGCGTTCACTCATCTAAAACCAATGAAAAAAAGCTTTAATCACCCAACCTTCCAATGCCTTCAATAAGTTGGGGCACAGATAGCTAACATGGTGCATTGTGGTCTAGATTGGGTACAAAATATCTTTTGTTGATCAAGCCCTATATGATGTCTTTAGTATCCAAGCTAGACCAAAATGCATCATGTTTACCAAACTCAGAGGAGTTCTATTGGAAAGCAGTATCATTTTATGAGTATCCTACCATGAGAAAGCAAAACATCTTCTGTAGTTCTTTGAGAAAATGATCGTCTCTTGCATTTCCAGTCATCTAAGCATAGAAGAGAAAAAATGTGAATTGTAGTAAGGGACGGAAGAGAAAATAAAAGAAAGTTGGGAAGGGAGAACGGGAGATAGGTATGGGAGGATGGGATAGGCAGAAAATTAGGAATGGGAGAAAGATAGGAAAGGAGGGAAAAGTGGAGGAAAGGAGTACCTTAGCATTAAGAAGTTGGTAAGGGAGAATGGGAGAGATGGATAGAAGGATGGGAAGGACAGAAAATTAGGAATGGGAGAAAGAGAAAGAGAGAAAGGGAGGGAAAAGTGGAAAGTAAAGGAGTAAAAGGAATGAAGAAAAAAGAGACCCAGTAAATGAGTCAAGGTTGGAGATTAATCTTGTAGTACCTTGGCATTAAGAATCGAGGTCTTTGCTTCTGGCATCATAAATAACTGCTGTATACAAGATGCCATGTAGCATGTTGCACCAAGATTAATGATTCCAACAAGACCACATGGTGATCGCTCGTTATCATGTGGCCAGTAATGCCAGCCATATGAACTGTGTTTCTTGGTACTACCTGGAAAACAAAACAAACAAAACCACTTCAAAAACTGTTTCTTAACTAATGCATATCTATGAGCAATACTAACAATGAAGGTAGCAGTTCTTTGATGTCTTATTCAAGCCGTTTGACTGCTGCTCTTAAATGGATCCCTTGTCTGATTCATTGAAAACTGAAGCCATTTGAGTGTCATCATAATATATGAATAAAGCACATCACACAGGATGGAGGTGATGTGACCTGAGCATTTTGGTTGGATCTTGCACGATGTGACTAGTTTGAAGAATATTGTCGGTTTCATATTGTCATGGCCTCAATGTTAGCAGGGACCGTGGAGGGGAAGGGACTGTGGAGGGGAAGGGACTGTGAAGGGGAAGGGACTGTGAAGGGGAAGAGACTGTGAAGGGGAAGGGACTGTGAAGGGGAAGGGGCTGTGGAGGGGAAGGGACTGTGGAGGGGAAGGGACTGTGGAGGGGAGGGTGCTGGTAGGGAATGGGCTCTGGTGGGGAAGGGACTGGTTTATAGCCCAATTTTTTTCCCTTTAGCATACTTTTTTTTTTTACCCTGACTTTATAGTAAAGGTTGCTCTATGGTCCTTGGTTAGAAAGTTTATTTACCCTGTAGACGTGAATTGCCGGGTCTATGGTGTTTCATCAGTAGTTTCTGCAACTCAAGGAAGTTTTCTTTGGACTCCTTGGCCATTTCTAACAACAGATCGTATGCTGCACTCCTAGCAGACTGGAGAAAAGAAAAAAAAATGACAGTGAGCTATCATTTTCAGTCAATTTYGGTGTAATGTTCTACTATTTCCAGGGAATTGATTTTTTGTTTCCTCATAGCTATTAAATAAATAAATATTTATTATCATGTCTAATATTTGTCTGGTATTTACCTTGAGTTTACATAACGGCAAGTTCCTGTCATCATAGCAATCGCTGGGCAGATCAAACAGACAAGGCCCAAATGTGTCTCTTAGGAATTCCTAATAGAAATTATAATAAGACGTCATAAATAGTTTTAATATAATGTACCAAATATAGGTTACTCAATAGCTTAAATCTTGAGAAATACTCTAAGTTATACTCACGAGTCCCTTGTCAGAGTACTTAAAGGGCGGATTATGTCGCATAACTGCTGTGTACAGCTTTAACATGCCACACAGTCCTTCTTCTTCCTGACTGCTGTGCCTCTTGGGGCTTGCGTTACTGCAATATTTCATAGAATACAGAACGATACATTAATTAGGGTAATTCTTATTCCCTAACATCAACATGTGCACTTTAGACACATGATAGCATAATTATTTTAGTCACCTTTTGATGATGTACTCAGAAAGTAGGTTAGCGAGAGAATTCAGATCAATAGCAAGGTCCTGATGAGAAAATAAACAAAAACATTTTTTGCCAATGATTTTGAAAAATGTTATAATAACTTGATTTTGAATTTCAATATTTGCTAAAATGTGGATGACAGACGTCCTCTAGCAAACATACATTATACCCCCTCATTTACGATTGTTTTCTGGAAATATGAACTATGTTCCTAAAAAGTTTGGGAATCAAGGATGTGGTAGTGGTAGTACACTCTCCTCTCACTGGGGTCGTTGGGTTCGATTCCTGGACTTGACATCACGTGTGAGTCAGTAGAGAGGGTTAGGTCTCTCCCTCGATTCAAGATTTTTTCTCCAAGCACTCCAGTTTTCCTGCCTCTGAAAAACCTAAGAAGCTAGGGTTCAATTGGTTCTGAGAGTTAGCTGTACCCTTACTTTAAATGGCCCAGTGGACCTTGCAGGGTGTTGATCAAATATGAATAAAGAAAGAAGAAAAGGTGCTTGCTTACCTTGCTGCCTTCCTCCAGCGGTAAGCTATCCACCAGTCGGCAAAGAATGGAGAAGTATTCCTGTGCACAAGGCTCTAGGTTCTTACCATGGCCTGCACTTTGGCTTGAAGTACACTTAGACTGTAAGGACTGAGCTAAAGGCAGGAAATCTAGCAGTGCATCCATTAATTCTATCAAACAAGGGTCTTCCTTGATTAGACTGAGTCTGTAGAGTCCACGACAAGCCTCACATCTTACCATGGGCTGGTAAAAAATGGTTTTCCAAGGTTATTTAAATCCATGTGAACAATAAACTTTTTCCAGGAGAAGTATTATGGTTACTACATTAAAGCCATTTCTCATAAGGGACGGACTGTTATATTTTTGAGGGTGAGGTTGAACAATATATTTTGTGCAGGAATTATTTTTTTTACACCTCATGGCTGTGCAGGAACTTTTTTTGGACATAATTTGGAATGTTTTTCTGGCAGTTTCCTTATGCATGATTTTTTTCCACTCTTTAAAGACTTGATTTTTTGGGGTTTTTGCCCCCCCCCCCCCCCCTAAATATCTAATGGTCTGTCCCTAATATGTGCAAACACAGCTCCTGACAACTGGGTTTCTGGACCACATTGATCAAAAACATTCCTACTAACTTAGATTATCGGAATTTTAATTGAGAAAAACATATGTAAAACATACCTCTCTTGCAAGAAGGACAAGTTGTTTGAGCCAGGATCTGAAGTTCTTTTGATGCAGAAGGCCTTTACTAACATGGGAATCAGTATAGGCCCAAGACACCAACAAGGATATTGCTTGATAAACAACTATTGGGATAAAAACAATGAGAGGCCTTAGGATGTGATCTCTCTAGGACCTCTCTGAAAAACACCTCAGGGATGAGAGCTTCCTGTTTAAACATTGTTATTATTATTTATCTGGGCCAAGCAACTAAAGAAATTTCTCTCTGCTCCCTTGACCAATGATCTGAGAGACAAAATCATTGACTTTCCCTCCCCTCCCCAAACTGGCATTACTTACCCTGCCCTCCCCTGCCTCCTCTGTGTGACCCAGTATGGACTTGAAGGGTAGCCTGGTATGATATTGCTAGTAACCGGTTTAATAGAGGTTCAACTTCTACCATGGACATAAGTTGCTGAAAAGAAGACAAAACAATCATGGTTAATATTTTATTTTTCATTCTATACTGATGCGGTAACAGTAAAAAGTGACAAAATAGGTAAGCAACACAGAATGAAAGAATGGATGGATAAATGAAAAAACAAGAGAATATCTTTGTGAATGAATGAATAAAATAGTGAGTAAACACATGAATAGAGATGAATGGATGGATAAATGGCTGGGAAAATGGATGGATAAATGAATGGAAGGAAGGATAGGAAGATGGATGGAAAGAAGGTTAGGAAGATGGATGGAAGGAATGATAGATGGATGGGAGGAATGATAGGTAGGTGGAAGGGAGGACGGATAAATGACAGGATTGTACTACATCCAAACCAAATGAAGTCCCATTTAAAAAAAGTTCAAGATTGTCAACTTGTAATCTGTCATCCTAAGATGTTTCGGACCACAATGTAAATTACTGACTTCCCAGTAATTGTGTATATCCAATAAAGTTATTATTATTATTATTATTATTATTATTTAACTTACAGGAGATAAACATTTGATGCAAATGGTTTCTTCTTTTTCAGTGCTTTTGTAGCGCACTCTAAACCTTCCATCCCTCTGCTGGAAGTGTTGTATATTCTGTTCACTATCAGACATACTAAAAACCTCATCCTCGTCATCGTCAGCTTTAATAGTCCCAAATTCATAAACAAGCTTTAATACATAAGCAAGACACTCCTCCTGCCATGGAGTCCACAACGGACCACATCGGGTCTCTACGTGACCGGACATAATTATATTGTACAGATGCCGAAGGCCCCCAAATTCTACAAAGAGAGATCCCCACGATGAACTCGTAGCATTCTTCGTATTTTCTTCTTCTGTGTCAGAGGAATCTGAGGACTCACTACTTGATTTTGAATCATTGGGTACGCTCCGATGTCTGTCTTCATAAGAATAGTGTATTAAATCCACTACTTGAAGGCAATACAGTAATTTATGAGGATAATGTGGGTCTAATAGTTCCATCCACGGCACAGAAAATTCCTCATATGAATGTTTCTGTTCAGTATCTGATTTATTAGAATCACTTTCTGGTGTGAGATGCCGTCCAAAATATTTTAACCTGGTTGAGACAGATGGGTTTGTAGGTAAAATACAAAGTAGTTCCCATATTAATTGACACAAGTGTTGTGCATAGTTTTCTTGCTGTATACGGGATTTTTCCTCCAGTGGGGAATGTCCAGACTCATCTGTCAAGTCCATAGGTAGTCTCTGTTCCTGCATTGTAGAATCTGAGCTTGAGGCAACAGGAGTATTTGAGGAATCCATGTCTTTCCATTGTCCAAGTTTTTCCTCGTTTTTAACTTCAGAAGTTTGTTTATCATTTGCACCATTAAGTTTATCTAGTACTTCTAGAAAAGAAAAGAGTTCCTCAAAGTGTTTATCCTGTAGTAAGATCATCATTGGTGTGTTATCCCACTTAGGAGCTGGTAGAGATGATGACGGAATTTGACTGTTGTCGTGGTAACGGTCTCTTCGCATAGCACCAACTGACACAAAGACAAGCTGCAAAGAACAAATGGGAGGATATTATTTTAAAATTTTACTGTACAATGCTTCTTAATATTACAGCAACCCAATTTACTTTATTACATGTCTGCAATATGGAAAGTGCAGAAACTCATTTTCAAATTGTGTGCAATGATGGCCACAGGTTTGTTAAGCACTGGCTATTAAGTACCCCCACCCCCCCCCGATTGGTTCGATTCTATCAGTGTTCAAGATTCATCGATTACCCGGGGGGAGGGGGGGGGGGTACTCCTCCAGAATTTTGGTAGGGGTGTTCCGCNCCCCCCTCACCCTCTCCTTTATGAAGTAATAGGAGAATGAGGTTTTTTTCTGGGGAAGAAAGACAAGTACACCCTACATACCTGCAAGTCCTTAAATCCAACATCAGCAAGTGTCTTCTCATCCAGATCAGGCGTTAACTCATGCCCTTGGGAGATAAGTCTAAAAGGAGGATTAAGTTGCGGAGAGAACGGAGATAGTGGTATGTGTCTTGTGGTGTCTTCCCCTTGCTTTTCGTTTTTTATTTTTTCTTGTAACTGTTTGCACCAGTGTGTTACCTYGGCACGCAACTCTGCCACCAGGTCCGATGAATGCATCTCAAATGTACCCTTCAGGAACACAGAAAATTAGAATTAGGTGTACTGAGGAAGCATTATAATTTGTCGTGTATTGAAGCCTAACTTATTTACCAGATAAGCACTATCCAGCAGACAAAAGTTTTATCCTGCCAATAATAATATAACTTTATCCAGTGGATAACGGTGATAAAGGTTACCTGCTGGATAACAGTTATCTGATTGATTACTAGTGCTTATTTGGGCTTCGGCTTTGACATCTGGCTCCTGAATTTTGTATTTTGATAGGATTTAGAAAGATTATTCCTACCTTGTCAGACAGACCAGCTGGTTGACACATGACCCTGATAGGAAAGTGCTTCTCTGTTGTGTGTTGTATCTTCTGCCGATGACATGATATGCCATGCCCTCCAAGCAACCATAAACGGAGATGGAATGCAAATCTAAAAGAATCAGTAAAGAAATATAAGTATAAAGGCTCCACTATACTACCCATTGTTCTTTGTAACTCTTACAGTAGGAATTATTTCGCTTGACAAAGTTGCATGACAAACACAACACAATCTTATACTTAATCTTATACTCTATATTCTGCCTGGTTATCTCAGTTGGTAAGAGTGTCAGTCTGTTGTGTGGGAGATCGAGGTTCAAGTCTTGACCGGACCAACACTAAGGGTCTTAAAAACCCTGACGACAAGGTTCTGCCTTTGTAATTACATCTAACGGTTACACCTTTACTTGACTTGCATGCATGACCACATTAATGGCAGTCCTGTCTCTAATCAACTAGATGCATTAAAAGAGGACCATGAGTTTATCAGTTACTGTCATGTCCTCCATAAACAAAACTGATTGACTGATTGATTGATGATTGA